TTCACCTATCAACAAATCTCCCTGTATTGCACTGATCCATCCGTTTGATGCTAAATGTTTCAGTGACATTATGCTCCTTCTTCTGACACTTTCGACTCTCCTCGTAGGAGGTATAGAAGCGGGGATTACGGATCTGAATTGCACCCACATGGTTGGTGGCGAAGCCAAGGTTAGTAAGAATATCTATAATCTTAGCAGATGAGAAATGGCCTCAAATTAAATGCTGCCGCTCATTACAGTTCTAACTATGTATAGGAATACCTGAGAGATGCTTAAAGGATTCTAATCATATTCAAAAACCCAAGTGATAGCCAAGCTTGTGGAGCTGATATGGAAACAAAAGGGGTCAACACGTTGAACTTAGAGTGACAAATGAATGATAGAATAACAATTCAAAATGCCTCCTTCCTTAGCCACTTCAACTCTACTTTTGTATAGGTATGGGATTCTGAGGATAGGATATCTCTTCGAGCCTTAATGCTGGCATGCATATCCAGTCCCTACAGGGAGCTCTTAACATATTCATTCTTCTGGGGCGAGTGACACATTTATGAACAGCCCCTTAAATTCTTCCATCGAGGTGACGTTCAGATTTCTGCTGTGCAACGATTCAGGTCGTACTCATTATATATGACACCTGACCAGTAAGTGTTGGCAGGAGTGCGATACTCGGTTGCCATTTAAATCATCAGCAAAAGAATCTCACAACAGATAATGTTGATTAGGTGCGAGGCTATATGGGATTGAATTCATGATAAACATTTCTTGTGAAGATGTCAATCATTTGAAGAGATCTGATTTAGAAAATACGTAGGTACTATACCATTATAACCTTCCAATCAACAATTTTTCAGTACTCTCAATCGGCGGTCAACTGCAACAACAGAATTTCCGATGCTGCCTGCCTCGTCATCTACGCGGAGGCAGTAAAAGCAGAAGGCAATCAAGATCGAAATGCAAAATGTGATGGACATCCTGCCGTGGTACGCGATTGAACGTCTCTCTGAGAGACTTTATTTTTTGACTTTCTGTTCCGTTTCGCACAACAATTGTACACGGGTATTTTCTCTCTTCAGATCAAGATTGCGGCTCTCCCTGTCAAAGTGTCTTTTCACTCTTTGAATTTTCTCGGTAGTTAAGATTTGGGAGCTTCAAGCCTTGACTCCACCCTTTAGCTAGATGAGAACAATGACAAAAGAAGTGGTATTGCTGATTCTTGGCGGCATTTCACGTGTAGCTGATCATATACACCTTAGCTGTAGTAATAAGGTCATCCAATGCGGGCTCTAAATCAGTAGCTCCGAGGCCTAGACTCCTCCTGTTGGGCGCTTGCTATGATCTCAACTTCGGAATATACGCAAGACTCAGTCACCTTCTTTTCTGACCCTTCAACAAATCTGAATTGATCCTAATGGTTCTTGTTGGATACACTTACTCTTCCCCATGCTCGGGCAGAGAAGATTTCAAAAAGTCAACGAAAATTCATCCGTATCCATCACGTGGACATAGATATTATGTCATACAGTTCTTATTTACATCTTGAATCGCGTGACTTCGAAAGTACACAAGACAATCCGTTCGGTCGGTTCATATTGTAAATAAAAGACTCCACTGTAGAAGCACCAGAAGTAGAACAAACAATTCTATACTATTCAACTTAAATGAAATGAAATAGCGAAACTAGCGGAACAAAATCAGTTTCCCTCGTTTTTTCATTGTTGTATCAGGTTGTAAGGAAAGTTCTGGCCGTTCAGTCAGCTATTTTTCAAAAAGTTATAACTCATCTCAAAGTGAACATTTTTATTTATAGTAAGTCCCATTCGATTCTACACATGTTTGCCAAAGT